TAAGTTCTCTCTTTAATTATCCCCAAGAGGGATACTTACGTCAGGACAATATTAGATTTTTCTGTTTCCAACCTTATTACCCTCCCACGTGTCTGATCTTATACAAAAGCTATTGAGACAACCTGACAAGCTAGAATTTAATTTCCTCTAACAAGAGTGCGTATCAAATAGGCGAAATGAATGTTCTGCCATTTACATACTGATGTTGCAATAACAAATGCACAGGCATAATGTCATTCCGGAGATACGATTTGGTAAAAATACAACTTAGGAATTGTGATATAAAACAGCGTAATGCAATTTCATGGCGGCAAAACAAAATATCTTCTGGATGAGGAAATCTGTCTGATTTTGATTACCATTTCTTTTTGTCATTGTTACTAACGTTTGAAAAAGCTGAAAAAAACAAGCTATGTAAGGCATTTCTTTATAAGGGTTACCTAGCTAGAACTAGCGTATGATTCAAAACAAGCAACCAATTTTCGTCAGCGACATTGCACTTTTGCCTCACACATATCAGTATGCTATAGGATATGGTTGATTCAACTAACTACATCGCAAGAATAACAAAAAAAAGTTGACTTTGACAATCTAGTCTTGCAACTCTAAAATTGCACTGGATGCCTTTAACGATAGTTCCTAATGTAGGCAGAAGTCCAACTTAGAATTGAGAGGGCGGATTGGGATCTACATGGCATCATATTGCCTCCCTTCCCACCAACCCCATCCCATTTACTAGATCTACTGAACCATGTCGCAATAGATCCCACCGCCAGGACAGGAGTGGCGAAATCAACTCATAAAATACTGACCCCTGCTCGTGTAGGGCAGGTACAATTGAAAAGAGTTACATCGATCGATCAGTGTAGGTAAGTTTGAAATTGTCTCGTAAAGCAATATAAGGGTCGTCATTCCAATATTCCTGTCCGCACGACTCAGGGACCTTGCAATATCTTTCCTGCATTCTTTATGAACACCATCAACCTAAGCTTAATGGAACTTCTACTTATATTTCTTCTGAGAACGAAGGGGGAATCGTTTTTTCGACCTTAGCAGTTCCAAGGACACAACGCCTCCGTGTGCTGTAGGCATTTCAGTCAGATGTTGGTATTGTTCAATTCTACTGTATGTTTTAAATATTGTGGCAGAGATACATTTAACATTACCACAGACATAGCAACAGTAAGGAGAAAGACATAGAAGATTGAACCTGTCTTATAAGTCGTAAAACTTTAAAACTAAGGAGCAAGTCATGACTGACTAAAGCAGGTCATCAGTTGAGTGTCTTTCGACTGTCGACATGTCAGAAAATTCATGTCGTTCTCGAAAGTAGTCAAGCATACATATCAAATTCAACTAGAATGCCTGCTTTGTCATTGTACACTGCAATGACATAGTGACATTGATGTACCATAACATTGATCGGAAGAATTATTTCAATATCTTGTTGCATGTAGAAAGACTTAACCTTGGAGCAGAAAGTTGTAGTTTGACGTGTTGTCGTGCCCAACGGAATATGTCATGTCACCTCTTAAGTGAAATCATCGTCCCTTTACTATTTCTGGAAAGCTTAAGAGCTTGGAATGATGACCTTTCCGTCTAATGCTGAAGACCCGGAGGCACGAATGCGTTCAGGCGAGAAGATGGCTACTGTCAGATCACTAATGGCGGCTGACCTTACTTTAACCCTACCTAGACCGGGGGGGGGCTAAAAGTGCCCGCGGCAACTTTGATGTCACCTAGCGTCTGAACGGCTAACCGTAGAACGACCAAACTTGGTGACTTTTCCTAAAATATGGTTGGCAACAATTCTCTATCATTGGAATAAGATAATAATTCTTTATGTTGCCATGGCAACGGGTTTCTGACAGGCATTTTTTGCTAAATTTAGTACTTTTTGTTTCAACAATAGAATTTTATGGGTTTTATGTCAAGTTACTCATGGTTTCTAACATTAATAACATCCCATATAATTTTATGTAAATTTTATCATTAAATATGCATAATTTATGCTAATTTGATGACGTCATTGGCCAAAATCCAAGATGGCGGACCATATCATTAGAACAGGTATATACGGGTTATTTTCATTAAAATTTCATCAATACTTCCATTTCTTTTTACAAAAAAGGTTTGAATAAAGGTGTTTAGTATGTTTACAATGTATTTTAGGCTTTATCATGAAAAAAAACTATTTTTGAAAATTCAAGATTGATGATCCAAGATGGCGGATATCTTAAATATGCATGACGTCACTTTATGACGTCACCGGTGTTGCTATGGGCAACATAAGACTTAGTACACACTAATATTCTGTCATAAACACTTTTGGTAAAGTAATGTTGTATACCAGGGAGGTTTTCAGGGAAAAAAATCATGAAAAAAAACTATTTTTGAAAATTCAAGATTGATGATCCAAGATGGCGGATATCTTAAATATGCATGACGTCACTTTATGACGTCACCGGTGTTGCTATGGGCAACATAAGACTTAGTACACACTAATATTCTGTCATAAACACTTTTGGTAAAGTAATGTTGTATACCAGGGAGGTTTTCAGGGAAAAACCTATTTAGACGGTTTTGGCCAATAAAATCACATTAATGACGTCATAATGACGTCATATTACGTCATAACGACATAAAAATTGTAGATATGATAAATTTTTACTAGTACACCATTCTCTGAAAATTTGGTGGTCATACGACATACCGTTCGCGAGTTCTTAGGGGGGGGTCAAAAGAGCCCCCCCCCCGGTCCCCCCATGTCAAAAAAAGCCCGGTCTAGGTAGGGTTAATGTCCCACTACTGGGGAGGGGGGTGGGGTGTAATGATATAGCCTATGGGAATTTTGGACGTTACAATTTGTCAGAACATCCAACTTTTATACAGTTTTGGATAACATCAGTGTTGGTCGTCAGGGTTTTGTTTGCCGTTAGAATGTGTCAAAACATAATTTTTACATATCTATGATAACATTACATTACGACACTCAAGTTATCATAGTGGTTTACATCTAAACTAGCATCGCATTGTTTCGCTTCATATGACAAACTCAACAGGCTGCCATTAAGGTTATGGATGCTGACCTAACATCAATTCTGGGCCGCGGGGGTGCTGTAGTGATAGCCCATTGCAATTTTGGACGCATCATTTAGGCTAGAATGTGTGGAAACACCCTCGTGTTACAAGCATCTACAATAACATGCATTGCTTCGCTGAATCGAATAAGATACACTCAAAAGGCTGCTTTCACAGTTATTGCCGCTTACCTAACATCAATTCGAACTGCTTGGAGAAGAAAGAGCTTATTGCAGTAATTGCAGTATTTGTATAGGCATTCTTGTGCTTCACGCATCTACAATAACGAACATTACTTTCCTGCATACAAAAAAACTCAACCAGGCTGCCATTAGTTTTATGGCCGCTGACCTAACATCAATTTGAACTGCAGGTGTTGGAGTGATATAGCCTATTGGGGCTTCGCGCGCACCATTGCCGTTATAAGTGTCAGGACACACTAGTGCTACAAGCATCCACAATAACATACATTACTTTGCTGAATATGAGACACTCAACAGGCTGCTATCACAGTTATGGTTGTTGACCTGACATCGAGAGTAGGCATCAGGTGGGAAGAGAAAATGAGAAAAGCCTATGGGAGTTTTGGATGCACCATTGCCTTTATGATTTTACCCTACGTAGCATTGCATTATATTGCATTACATTACTGCATATGAGATTCTACAGGTGGGTATCCTAGTTAGGCCACAGCAAGTAATTTTAATGGATGACATCAGCGCGCGCATTAATTTTCGCCTGATTTTGGAAAAAAAACAAGAAATTTCGTTGCCTTCTGACAGTGGTCAACATGCCGAAAATAGGCAAAGATGTCTGTTGCTATGCCGGAAGGTGGATGGCAGATAACTATGAAGAGGGGAGACAAGAAAAGGCTCTGATTTAATGTATTGTTTCTTAATTTGATGCAGTGATATGTGATGCTGGCTGTGTATATGTGATGTTCCCACTGAATACAAACCATTTGAAATGTAGGAACCTTGTTTTTTTTCAGCCCGCCTTGTTTTTTTTTTCGCCCGCTCGCATTAGATTTGGAGTCTGCATAGGATGTCATCCAAAGAATTTACATGATGTGGCCTTATGGTTGATGACCAAACATCAATGTAGCGCTGCTGGGGTGTAGTTATGAGATTTCCCCATAGGAGGCTAAAAAGGATCATTTCCGTCAGACCAGTTGCTGATGAGGCAGAAAGCACGTTGCGGCTGAAGAAAATGACTTTCCTCAAAATAAATGGGTGTATTTGGGGGGCTCCTTCTTATCCGATAAAGTACTAAGTTAGCATGAAGGAACCATCAATCAAAATGGATGAATGCGTCAGCAATGACGTTGGCTCAGTTTATACTTAACTTGGCCTACAACTTGTAGTACCTACATTTTCTTTCTATGAATGTAACGCCTATTGGATAACTATCAAGCGATACGAACAAGATACTAAAGACCATAGGGGTCGGCCCCAGCAAAGGAAAAGGCATTCACGCATTTAGATTGTAAATAGATAGTATAAAATTGTGAATAGATAGTATAAATATAAAATTGTGCATAAAGTTCACGTAAACATTCAAATCATGCTACCAACGTATACCCTGTTTCATTGGGCGTCATAGAAGGAGAATAAAAGTACTCTTTCAATGACTAACCTCCACAAGAACATTAGTCATTCTGCGCCTATGATACTACTAATTTGCACTAGTGATGGAGGTTACGACTCTGTCGACACGTTAAAAGACACCTGGTTTTATATGACCTTCGATTGATCTGGGTAACCTTATTTAGAGCGTAGCTCCTTGATCATCATCAAGGAACAACCTGGATATACGATCAGAGGGTTCCTTTGTTGCTCTCCGGTCTTTCATCACCCCTCCTGACGTGGGCAATGGACCATTCCTAGTACAAGGTGACGTCACCACGCTCTCCCTGTACCAGTAAAAAGCCAGGCTTCCCATAGGTTGGGTGGTAGAACGGTGGTAGCCTTAAGGGCAGCAAGACAAATAGCGTCATCACATGCACGGTACCCCGATCGGCGCCCGGGGTTTAAATTTCGTTCTGACCGTTTCCGTGCGCTCATTTCGAGTCGATGGAGTAAAGGTTTGTTGGCAGGATGCCCTGTCTTACATTGGGATGTATAGCGAGGGTGTGGATCCGCATGGAGGTAAGGCTGTTTTTCAGGGTCCTGTCTTCTTTACAAAAATCTTTTTAAAATGTCTGGCAGAGAAATATTTCTAGGATTCTTTCTAAACGAGCTACTGCTAGCTGTAAATATATTTCAGCGTAGATGGTGTTAAGTGTGAGTTGCTAGATTTAAGTGTTTGTGGTGGTATATTGTGCGGATCAGCTGTATCGGGCATATAATGAGGTTGTTACGCCTTACTGAGGGAATGACAGACTATGGAGGCTGTAGATATTCGATACCATATCGGAGTTAGGACCGTGCATTCTAATGTATGTTTTTCTGCCCTCAATTCTTGAAAGCATTACCTAGTCGGTATCGTAGCAGCGTAGAAGCAATGACCATTGTTTGATCAAAAATGTTCCATAAAAAAGTTGCATATGGAAGAATTCTGTACTGTTTTCACCTGACGCAAAATAATGGAAACACGTACGACCAAGCGCACGGCAGTGCGTGAACCGCATCAGCTTGAATTTCCTACCGGCGTATATTTACCGAGTATCGGTCCCAACCCACCAGGCTGGTCACGAATAGGCTTGTTATTCGGGTCATTAGGAACCGCATAAAGCCTACTGTGCGTGTACCTACCACGGATCCACGTACTACTAATTTTCTTCCTCCCAAATTGTGTGACTCAACGGCCCAATAATCCCATAACCGTGCCGGTATATATCGTTCCCAACCCTATCAGATGTGATTTTGATTTGCTGTCAATGGTGTGTCATTTCCATTGGGACAGCGTTGTGTACATGCAGTCATTTACATTATGCACATATACTCTTCTAGCGGTGACGTTATCTGGGAAACATGTCGGTCGTAAAACTGTAAAGCAATCGCGGAACATTTGGCAACTGGCGTTGATTAATATGTAATCTGTATTCAAGTTTGCGGCGTAATCACACTCACAGTGATTGCCGCTGTCAGCGAACACATTTTGAATCTGTAATAAATCTGTTGCTTTTGTACTGAATGTAAAGCACGCAAAACAGATCTGTACAGAGCCTAATGTGACACAGCGTGCCTCGTAATAAAAGTACGTCAAATGAACTCCCAGTGCCGCGTGAGGGTCGTGAACTTGAGGTTTTATGTTCTTGGGATGCAGGTAACCACTTAAGGTTCCTTAAGGGATAACCCTTCAAGTGTTCATCGATGCATCTTTTGTATTCCTGAAGGCAAGGGAAGTAGATGGTTTGTTAAAGCTAGAGCGAAGTGTCAATAAGTTATACACCATCTTGTGTTGACGCAAATGTTAATACGCCGTCGTATAATCCGCAGGTTTCCGAACGATTTTGATCATCTAGGATCTTTAGCTGGTTGTGATGGAAGTAATCACCGACAAGGATCTAAGACATTCTTTTCGTCACAAGACAGCTAATTTTATGAGAACGCATGGACAGCTCTCCCACCAAGAATACAGCTCAGTTTCCGATCGTACGACATTCGTACAACCTATGAGACTGTGCCCCACATCGAAGCCTTTTTAAAAATAGTGTCCTAATCTATTAACAACAAAAACAATGCGCTAGGACCACTGCACTCGCCATATACATGTATAAACGGACGTTTGCAATATACATGGTAGAACTAACTTAACATTGTGGGCCTACATGAAAACGTATGACCGCAGTCCTCTCGAAACTGTTTACTGTTAAATATTGCCACTCACGGTCCCGTATTGACTAACCACCAACCAACCAACCTGTTGATTTCGTTGGCTGAAGACGTACATTTGCTGTTGTGATTCCAGAGTGTCAATCACTTCACGGTGCCATGCACGAGATGCAAACAAAGCCAGATGACGGAAGTATCTTAACTTTTCTACTTCACTCACCTGAATCGGTTGATGTTTAACAACAAAACGCAGCCTTGTACGCGTATATATGTAGATACACCCTATAAACCATATATAATGCATATTGTTTTGGCTAGTTTTCTTAGTCTTGGAGTCGGATCTAGTCTAAGCTGTTTGGATTGCTATGATCTAGTTAGCCTCCTCTATAAACAGACAACGTGCGACAACAGCTACTCAGATTTCACTAAACACACGTCATACTGCGGACCGCCTTGTCTTGATTCTGTTCACCGCATTCTTGTACCTGTCGGCCATGTTTACATTAGTGGCAGCATCACTGTTTGCATGCACTACATTACAGCTGTAGATTTTTGAATGACGATACCAATTTCAAGCCTAATTCTAGAATCTGGAAAGCAATATCACTGTACAATCATTCAATTTGAAGCTCCCTTTCTTCTAATTATTTCTCGAATCCCTGTGACCATCGTGGTGAGTTGAATGTCAGGCAAGGACATAATTAGGACGAGTGAGCTCATTAATAAGTAAACATAACTGGTGCTCGAAATCCCAGAAGTTCTGGATACACATCGATCTTGCAGTAAGTACCTATTTCGTATGCAGATTTGTCTCGATCCACCCTCCCAAGGGAAGGGACTTCACGGTATGCCACGTGGTAAAATTATCTGCTATCTTCAGGCGGGTTTCTGGATAAACAACATAAAGGGTGCTGTATCCAGAAACGTGCCTGGAGCAAATCTACGCTCTTGAATACGTGGAGACAATCCAGAACCGTGCCTGCTCCTAACCCATTTAGGCATTCAGGCATATACCTTACATAAGCACTGTGGCAGTTTTGCTTACGACAAAGGGTATTGTGCACGATGCACATATTTCAAATCCCAATAGAACATAACTCTAGGCTAAAAAGCAGGTAAAAGTTTTACAATAATAGTCGATTTGCCCAAGCCCTCTTCTATAGAATAATGGTGGATTTACTTCTCCTACTCAACTTATGTTGCTTTGGGATTTGGGCATATATGGGGAGTTTTACATGGTTTCCAGCAATGCATACCTACTCAAGAGTAGCAACTGGGGTATTTTAAAGGCTTTTCTGCCATGAATTCAATTGCCAGATTGCCAGAGAAACCACAGCCCTAGAGGGAGCACTCTTTATGGCTGTCGGTTATTACATTGTGGTGATGAATTGCACGTCTCCCAGCGGCCCCCGGCATAGAAATGTAGAAGTACAATCAATACCATGTCTCTCATATCTTATGCATTATTGAACGGTGAAGACCGAACCAAGGCCAATATACTTCTCTTCTGGAACCCACAGAACGTCATATATGTGAAGCATGATTTCATGTTGTTCTGCATTTTTCACCTGTGTTGAAAAAATATTTGTTTCAATGGCATGTGGTATTACAAGGCCTATTGTAGCGTCACAGTAAATGTATGGGTTAGTATTAGAACGTGGATTTATTGTAAATAGTTTAAGGATATCAACTTTATGAGGTTATGGTCGATTATCTTAGCCACGTATTTAAGCTAATTTACAATCATTGACACAGTGGATTTAGATTAATACAAAGCCTATTAGGGTTTACGGTAACCACTTTACATGAAGGTCTCCAAAACAGTAAATATATGTCCGCAACAAAGTTTGCTGAAATATCGCTCTAAAAGCTATAGGAGAATGGCAAACGGAAGGAAAAGTAAGGAGAATATCATCTCAACGGTATTATATATTAAAAGAGCACTTTAGACAATCAGCGTAGGAAGTCTACCTTGAAACCCCTGCTGTAGAGGTTTATGAAAGAATGGATTTTTAAGAGTGATTGATCAGGAGAAACATGGACTTCATCGTATGGGCCATTACGTCTACCCCACGGTCATAGATCTAGTGTAGACCTTAAGGCATTGAAATGGGAATGAAATTCCTCATCTGTGTATTGTGCTTTCCTTAGGGGGGCTTAGACTGTCAATATGGAGCTTTGCTTGACAGCTTGTTGATCCTATACTGCAATGAATTTTAGGCCGTGATAGTTATCTAGATTCTGCAGAAGTCGCTTGCAGTAGATAAGCATAAATATCTGAACAGTTTTATGACAACGCAAGTGGAATATGTATGAGGGAGTCGTAAACAATAGGTTAATACAATGCATTATAAGGTTCATTATCTGCAATGAGAGTGTTAAGACAACGCAAAGGTGAAGTCAGATTTTTCACTACATATGTATGTTGGTCAAATAAGCAAAACATCTATTCTCATTGGCCATAATTGCCCTAACTCCAATAAATGAGAACGAATATCGTTTCCTAGCATATATTGAGGGGGAAGCTGTAATGGTTTTTGGTTCATTTGGGGCGTGATCTTTTGTGACGTTTGACCTATACATTCACCCACTTCTGGAGACATTTCAGCATTATGACATTTTATTCATGTCCTGATTTACAGCCTACTATAGACGAGCCGTAGGGCAAAGATAAGTTCATGATTGTGCCCTAAGGTTCTATCTTCACGGAAATGTTAAATGGCTGCGAGGAGCACACTTCCTGCAATATGAAGTAAGTGCCAGACTCGTGCTATAGTGTGATCTGTCTTACTATTCTTCCAACAGCAGTAGAACTATTGGCCCATTTTTCACCAAATTCAGGTCAGGAGATGATAGCTCAGGGTTGTAAGGTGACTGGGGCTGTTGGATAATCTCTTCCTCGGGTCAAAAGTTCGTCATATACGATTACTTCTGGGCACGGAAGTATTGTTTTGGGTGGCTGAGCTATGGTTTTGTTTATCTGGACAGAACAGAGAAGGTTGACATCACGTGGGTGCAAAAATATTGATAGACAGAATGACTGGAGGTCAAAGGACTTACAATCTGGCCAGGGTCGCCAAGAAGAAATTAGAAAAACTGAGGAGTGCATATTTTTCAGAAGTAAAAAAATCTCCAATTCCTTGTTATAAGATGCCGCTCCTTTATGCAGTTCAGTCTTCATGTTCTTTTCTTGAAATTTCTCACTGGTCCAACTCTGGTTTGGATACAATTTGTATAGAAGACGGCCTCACAACCCCCTAAAGGAAAGCACCAATGTCTCAATCCTTTGTATCTGTACAGTGATTGGCCAGGATTTAAGTATTACCTTGTTGACAGTTCTTAATCTCGTAACTGATCGCGATATTTTGTTT